TGCCAGGGCATTAACGAGTTAATAAATTAAAAGTTAAGTTAAAGGTTAAATTAATTTAACTTGTTTCATTATTGATAAATTAACTAAACTTATTAACTTAATTAATTTCCTTACAAATTAACTTGAAATTAACGTATTTTTTTTTCATTCATCCCAATTAGGTTAATTTTGATTTTTAAGACAAGAAAAATATTTTTGTAAAATACCACATTCGATACATTTTAAATGAAATTTAAAAAAAAAATTAAAAAAATTAAAAAATAAAAATTTCGAAGAATTTTTAGATGAGACGATATAAACTATTAACAGAGGTCCCTCCGGTCTCGGGAAAAGTACTCAACCATCTTAAGGCTATTGAGTGAGTACAAATAGCCATGACACCCATGAATTACATCACCATTGTTATGAAAAGTGGTCGTAAATCTCTATTACAAAAAGATGTACATATTATCATTGGTTATACAATACAATTATTATTGAAATGATTCCATAATCAAGGACGACGCGAAGAGGTGGGCAATAGCGGCAGTTGCCCAGGGCCCCGCGCCTTAAATTATAATTAAGGCCCAGCGATTCTGATTTAACTGAACTTAAAATATTTTATTAATATAAATTATAAAACCTAACATTTATTTTGCCCAGGGTCTCGCAAAACTCTAGCTCCGTCACTGTCCGTAATCTATGATATTATTAAATATTATGTAATTAGAGAAAAAATGTAATAGCTGATCAACATTTTGAGATGGCTCTTTTATTGAGAATCAATAGGTATTTTGATTAACCTGTCTATTATATTGTATTATTTTTTAAGGTTTTAATTAAGTTAAATAATCTAAAGATATAAAAATGGAGCCAAAAATGTATAACATTTCATCAATTGGGAACGGCTGGGCCGATTTGGCTCAAATTTTTTTTAATTGTTTGTAATTGCCAGGAGAAGGTTCTTACGAAAAAAAATTTTGGAATAGTGCTATTGTTTATAAATCATAGTTTAATTTAATAATTTTTGACTCGGTCGATAACTGCGCAATTGAAAATGAATTATTAAATAAAACAATTAATAGATTTCTATTTTAAAACTATTAATTTTATTTTTGGTATTAAATGACGAGTATTGCATAAATAGTAAACAACAAGATCCCGCAACAGGTATCAAAACAAATAAGAATGTTAGTTCGAAGAATTATTATGCATATCGGTTGATGATTAGACGCGTTCAGGACAAAGTTATTCTACGATGTCAACAATTCATGGTCAAAATGTATGTAAAGATAGAGAGCGAACGATTTCGATACTTGCGATTCAATTAAAGAAAGCTGTGTAAGGAAGATTTTCAAAACAATTGTTAGATATTAGAGATGGGAAAGTTACTACAGATGAAACGGGATGTATAAAAATACCGACCAATTTCTGCACAATCATTTATTCGCAAGATGCTCTCATATACCAGACATTTCCCATTGTACACAGACAATACACAAATCATGAATGGCAGGCAGAAAGAGCAATTTTAGTAGCAAAAAATGTGGACGTCAACGAATTGAATCTCACGATACAATATTTGTTACCAGGTGACTTGGTGTCATATAAATCTATTGATACAGTTTGCGATGCTACTGAAGCTGTAAATTATCCAACAGTTTTTAAACTCATTAGATTTACCAGGCATAACACCGCATAATTTACAATTGAAGGTTTGATCTCCTGTTATTTTGCTTCGTAATTTGACCACCACGGTTGTACAACGGCACGCGATAAGTCGTTAAAAAATTAATGAAAAATGTTATCGAAGCCATCAATTTAAATGGCAAATTCTTAGGTAAAAATATATTATTACCGCGAATCCCTATTATACTCACAGATGTGCCAATACAATTTAAACGCCTTAAATTTCCAATTAGATTGGTATTTGAAATGACTATCCATAAGTCTTTAGGCCAAACGATGTCTGTCTGTGGTTTAGATTTGAGCACATCATATTTTTCACACGGACAATTATACGTGGCGTGCTCTACAACCATCCAGTTTGTGTTGATGAAAGATGGGATAACAAAAAGTATTGTACACTCTGTTGCATTAAGGGATATCCCTTAAATATATATATTATTTTTTACTAATATTGTCATAATTAGCGATGTATATAATTTAAATGGATCAATTTTAATGAATTATTAAAAAAATAAATGTTTGATGTTTTTTCATTTTTATATTTCGTCACCGTTCACAGCACTCCATACCTATTCCTTACATCCTAATCCTTATCCACATCCTTACATGCCTATATTAAATTAATTATTTTTTTCTAGCAAAATATTCTCTAGAAATAATTTATATGACAAAACAACGTTTGTCGGGTCAGCTAGTATTATATATTTATTTTAATGTTTTGTATCTACTGTAGACATATTTCCTGTATAATTTTATAAATATACTATCAGTTGCAGTAATATATTTTAGTTTTCAAATTGTTATTGAACATTAAATAGAATACTTTTTTTCAAATTATATTTATCATATGTGATTAGTATGAAAAATGAATTAAAACAAACGATACATAAATAACCATACATTTAAAATTTGAATGCTCTAAAATAACCCAATAAAGAAATGTATATTTTTCTACTCTAATTAGATTTTTTTGCATTTTCATTATCGTTAATGTTAAATAAAATCTGTTGTATATTGTTAATATATATTGTCAATATATCACTTATATCAGTGCTTAATTTACATTTTTTTTTTTTAATTACCTCAACTTATTAATTGAAGTTAAGTTAACAATATTTTTAAACTTAATTGATATAATCATCATGTGCATTAACTTAATTGTTAACTTAATTGAACATGAACTCAATTAACTTAACCGAGTTAAAAAATATCATTAACTTGCCCAGTCTTGTTAAGTTTTATACAGGAGTTTGTAGAGTTAGAAAAAATTTAATCTGAAATGTATATATACTATTCTAAAATTCAATAAAAGACAAATTCTAAAAAGTTTTCTCTGATATCAATATATCTTACACACAAAGACCTTTGTTCGATACGAGATATATCACATGTTTCGTCTGCTAAGATAGCAAAGAATTTTGCTTGGTTCACTTTAAATACAATTTCTTTTTAAATAAGAGAGCCACATATTTGTATAATTTCATTTTGAATTATGGGACTAATGTAAACCGATTTTCCCGATAAATTCATCAAATGATTTTTTAGAATCAGATCATCACTTAATGCTCGAAATCATAACAATCGATCTTTCTCACAATTAAAAATTGGCCCACTATCGTCGTGACCTCTCATAGCTAATTCTTGACGACCGCAAAAAATTATTGTTTCTATTATTGATATTAATTTTAAGCGATTTTCGATAACTTGAGCTTTCCTAAAAGAATCTACTTGTGCTGCTACATCAAATGTTTTATTTTCTATTATTTTAACAAACTTTTCCGCTCTTAAAGTTGATAATTTATGATAATCAGCATTTGAATGCGTTATAAAACATTCGAGGGCATTTTTCCATTTAATAAATGGCTTATTAACAAATGCACCTACTTTTACAGAGCTACCTTTCCCCGATGTTTCATTTGAAAATAATACACATATTTTACAAAACGCACCTTCTAATTTACTGGAATATATTAACCAGGAGAAACGTGTAATCCATGATAATTGAAATTTTAATTTTCTTGTTGAAATTACTGGAAATTTGTATGAAGTAGGTGGCTGCCATGGTTTTTTCAATAAATCATATTTAAACTTATCGTCAGATATTCTTTTATTAATATATAAACCAATATCACGAATATCTGTGAGATCAGTGGTATCAGTATTAATTTCAATTTCAGTGTTTTTAACCAAATTTGATGAACAAGGAATTTCAATGATTTCATCACTTTTTTCAGGTTCGGTCACAGGTACTTTTCTATTAAAAAAATGTAATAATGAACGTTGAGATGTCATACTTAATATTGATATCTCGTCACAGGAATCACGAAAAAAAAAAAAAACGCACCAAATACCGAAACAACCGATGTCCGAAAGGCGAAAACCAACTAAATAGTAGATAGTAAATTCTGTTCGTCATAAATCGTAATAATCCTAATATCACTTATATCTAATAATAGTACCTTTACTGAGAATTTAAGGTTGTTTATAGTTTGACGTCGACGTCGCGCGAAGGTCCGTTATCTTAATTCATAGAAATCCGGAATAAATAATAATAATTTTACACATACACGAGTACACGACAAACAAAATAATAATCTCAATCTCTTTAACCGCTATAATATTATGTAGGTACGTATACTCCAATCAACTTTTATTATTATATTATGATATATTAGTTTATTACGCTGAATTAACTATTTTTTTTTGTACGTCTGCACTCTTTTCATTTTTCCCATACTAGACAGTTTGGTTTTAATTAATACATAGATTAAAGAAATGCACACGTGAGTCGCACTAACCATAAATTTCGAGGGGGGGGTGTACCCCCCCTTATATACGCCACTGGTATATATGAGATTTATTTGTACGAGATGATGTCGCATTCAAAATTAATTTTGAAGCTAAATACTTCATTAAAATCTCAACTATTTCCGAAATTCAATCATTTGAAGAATTTTCTATAAATTCGTCGAAATTTAATTTTCACATCAGTTATACCGGAAAATATATTCAAGTACAACATTGATAGCGTCTACGAGTTCATTATTTGTACATCAACAATTACAAGTAAATCGTTACAGATAGTGTGTTATAATGCACGAATGTTACATTATTTCATTTATTAGCGTCATCGAAACAATTCGACGAAGCAAAGGATTTACTTACGTAACGAGAAAACATAAGTCGCTTAGACGATTTAATGGAATATTTATACACATCAACACGTATAAGGCGCGTGTATGGCAACATTGATTTTTTTATTTTTAGAAATTTTCCATATTTATTATGTACAAATTAATTATTATATTATTTTCAGAAATCGTGCACTGAAAGTATACGGTGACGGCACACATCGAATAAGTAATTAATCACGTAAAATCACATCCGAGTCCATTAACGACGGCGCGATCGTCGAATTTCTCCTAAAAACCAGACCGGTGTAAAAAGAATAACATCAAGGCCCGACATTTAGATCACGAACTGTGTGTTCCGAGGTGGTTTGCATAACAAAATAACGTTCTATATTTTTACATACATTTAATCGATTTCTATAAAAAGTGGTTAGCACAGAGCATTCAGTTTCAGAGAAGCTTCCGCCATCCTGCAAAGAACAGAAATACGGATAGGTGTACGTTACCAATTTGTTGAGCCTTCGAGTTGACACGATGGTCATTTTGAAAATCGGTAAGTTATTTGTATTTACTTATCATAATTATTATTATTTTCATCATCAACATTATTATCATCATCGTTAACACCGAATTATGAGAATTTAAAAATACCCAAATGAATATCGTTTGGGAGTACGCAAAATCGCGGTTAAATTAAATTACAATAAACATTATTTTACTCATATTATTAAATAAATGAATAAATAAAAAAATAATGAAAAAAAAAAAATTGAATTTTTCTCTCAATAATCACTATGTATGGATACACTTTACGTTAGATAAAAATATTAAGGAAAAAAATCTCGTATTAGAAATATTTTTCAGTAAGATGTCAGATTTTTCAAATTTAATCAATTATAGATTTTTAAAATATTTTTAGGATGTACAGTGTTTGTATGTGCATACGTGTTAGTGGTATTGATGAAAAAGTTAGATAAACAAGTATATTTCATCATGCATAGTTCATCCGGAATTGATTATTGTATTTTATAAATGATAAATGTATTTTATTTTAAATGTATACACCTAATACGCATTTTGTTTTTGCTTGAAAATTAAAAATTTAAATTTAAATTTGTTTACTAAACTAAAACAATAACTCACTATTTTAAAAATATATCTTACTGTACACCAATATATTATAAATTTCAATACGTTTCAATATAGTTTTACTAAAGAAGTCGATTAATAATTTTTACATTTTATTTTTATTATTTTAAAATTTCTTAAAATTATCTATCTTGGATAAATAGTTATTATTTCTTCATCTTCATATTGGTTCAACTGTTTAAAGTCATCTTCTGTAATAGGACCTAAATATTTTTGAAACATTTTATTTTCATCTATTCCGTAGTTTACGTTCACAGTCTGTCTTTCTTTTAGGTTCACCAACTGCACGAAATCACTTAACACGCTTTTTATTTCTGTTTTGAAAAACTCTATCTGTTGTTCTTTTTGTTCTAACTTTTTAAGTTTTTCGAGATATTGTGTTTCTTTTGCTTTTACTTCATCATTTTCAAAATTCGGTATTTCAGAAATAATTGTTTTCTTTTTAGATTTGTTTTCTAAATCAAGTTTCATTAAATTAAGTTCATTTTTATAGAAGTTATCTAATGATAATTTTGTGTTTTTATAATTTTCATTGTGTTTTTTCTTCGTATAATTCAGTTTATTTTGAAATTTATCGTTATATGACATCATTAATTGTTTTTTACGCTTTTGAAAATTCGCTAAATATTGTTCTTTGATTTTTTGAAATTTTTGTTTTAAATATACTTCTTGTTCTTCTAAAGATTTTTCGATGTTTAGTAATGTTATTTTTTCTGTATCGATTGTATGTTGCTTTAACTTTTTTTCGTAACTATCTTTCATATCCCTCTCTGCAGCGAGTATGGATTCCTATGAACATTGATAAATTATTCAGTATACAGGAAAAATTAAAATCGTTAAAATTATTTTAGTCCTTGCATATATATTATAAAGGTCAATATTTATGAATTACAGATATTATCGATGTAATAATCAAGCAATTTAATTCAAATATTTTCTAGCTTTTTTAATTAAATATTACTGTAGAAAAAACCTTCAATCATGCTCTTATTGATATTTTTAAATATAATAATTGCTATAAACCAATTTAGTTAATCAGCATTAATTTGGGTTCTTATTTTTGTCAACATTTAGACAAAAATCAAATAATTCTACTATGAAATATGCAAATACATAACATTGTAACTAAATTAGTTTTCCTTCAATATTAAGTATACGTTTCTCTTCGACGTAAAATAAAATCATAAGTGAAATACATATTGTGTTTTAGTAAATGAGGACTCTATTCATATTTAACAATGCATTACTAATTAATCTGAACAAGATGGAAATTGTGAGAATTCCAATTGATAATATCAATCTGGGGTGATGAAAACACTGTCGTGGTGATGTGATGTGACTTAATTTTCAAAATTCAAATTCAATTTCAAATGTCTTCAAAGTATATATAATATATAAAGAGATGGGACTGAACAATATCGCAATCATTGTTCGACATTTACAAAGGGTTATATTATGAGATATTATAATACAATATAATATTACTAATATATTTATAAATATTTAAATTTAGACGGAAAGAAGGCATTCAATTATTTAAAATGAATAATAATTATAATAATAAAATAAAAATAAACTAAAGGCATATAATTTATGACCCCTAGAAAAAAAAAAAAAAAAATAATAATATAACACTTATTATTTCCTCCATAATCGAGATTCCTTAATATTAAAATATAACTTATAAATGAAAATCGTTTAATACTTTTTTTAATTAACAAATTAAACAAATTATAACATAATAAAACATACTAATTTATATTTTTGTTGTTTTTTTTTTCATTAGGTAAATTATTTTTAAAATTAATTTTGCTGAAATATTTTGCCGCCCTGAGACTTGACGTCCCCGGGCATATGTCTACCCGTGCCCCCCCCCCCTAAATATGGGCCTGACTAAAACGTTACACTAGGGGTTCTGAACCTTTGTGCGTATTCGACCTAAGACATTTATTTAACCAATTTTTAAAACGAAATTTTTGAAAATAATTGTCAATGAGGACAGACCCGTACCCATTAGCTTTTTCAATCAACATAATATGAGTAACAGATATGTAGAAAATATCATATTATATTGATAATGAGCACCAAGGAAAATTCTGGTTAATTTATATATTATTTAATTTAAAAATGTATGAAATTTAATTGTTTTCGTGAATGTTGACCGATAATGTATAAATTAAGGTTTTTAAATGTTAAAATACCGTATTTAATTTTGTTTGTCTGGGAAAATAATTTATGAAAAATGTTTCTTTTTTTCTTTTTTCTTTTTTTTTTTTTTTGAAACCATTTAATTCTCTTTGTATAAAATGAAAATAATATATCAAATTTATAATCTTTTGGTGACGCATTCAAAATTAAACCCAAAATTGATTGACGATCCATAAGTTGAAAAATGCTTCGTCACACTATCCCACAAGCATAGTCAATATTAATATATTTTACACACTATTTGATTTATTTTACGGTGTACGCATCTGATAAAAAATGAAAATGATTTTAGATATGATAAACATTATCTTAAATGTATTATAAAAATGTACCCAAAAGATTCGTAATTTTTGTTCATCAAAATAAACGTATAAATTTGCTTCTTCCTAACTGTTGAGATTAATTGTATTATAAAATCTAAATGAAAAAAAAAAAAAAAAAGAATTGCTTCATTACATTATTTTAAAAACGAGGAAGCTTAAAAATAGCATTAATTATTATTTTACATACATATACTATTTAAATTGCAGTTATATTTTATGAAATATGACTGTTCAGTCATGATTAATCGTTAGGTTAAAAACGGCTTATGTTGAGTTCGGAAAATAATTCATTTTTCCTATTTTATACCTCACAGTTGTGTTAATACTTTCAATTAATAACTCATCATAATTAATTGTATACATTAATCAGAGATCAGAAAAGATTGAAATGGTATTAAGAATTGTTCACACAACTAATATATAATATATAAATATATAATATAAATCGTTAATATTATATAATTTGCCGTGTATAATGATAAAACAAAATGTATATATGCAGAGATGGAACTAGGAATTTTTACGCCCGGGTAAAATGTTATGTTAAAATTACGCCTTATCCATAGACTAATAAACAAATACTTAAATAAATTGTGTTCTTATAATCAATATACAATCGTACTTATTGAGTTTTAACCTAAGATCAGTATTTAACGAAGTTAAAAATATCATATTAGTTGTTAATAATTATGAAAATTACACCCTCTAAAATGTTACGCCCGGGGATAAATCCCAGACTTCCCCTCCCTAGATCCGGCCCTGTATATATGTCTGTATGATAGTGGAATAACACATTTATTTCGAGATGATAGATAATATTTAATGTTTTTCGTTTGGTAAACATTTTCAACCAATCGGATCGGAGTTCAATGATTTTAGAAAAGTTTTCAAGTTATTTAGTGAAAAATAACCTAAAAATATTTAAGTATTTAAACATATCTGCAATTTTTAAAAAGATTCCATGGCATGAGGGAATATTTCTTTTGATACTCACTTTAAACTTTTTTTCTTGTTCGTTAATAAACTTCAACAGTTTTTTTTTATACTTGGCTTTTACTTTCTGAATTTGAGAATCCGTTCGCTCCTTTAAAGTTTCTCGTATCAGCTTGTTTATAAGGTTAATTTTTTTTTTCTCGATCCTGTAATATCTATCCATTGAGATTTCACCGATTTCTGAAAATCAAATGATGTAAATTTCAGTAAACTCATTTTTACTTTCACTGCGTATAAACGTGACAATAATAATCACTTATGATCACCAATAATTTTTTCGTGTAAATTCGATAGGAGTTGCTGTTCATATTCTACCGGACCGAGCTTTTCATCATCATTTACTTGATTACATATTTTCATATATGGTATTTCTGTAATACATATTTTAAGGCTATGGTAAATCAATATATTTGAAAAAACGATTCTGAGTGAAGTTCCGCAAATTTACGAAAATCTATACTTGTAAATATTTATTGAATAATAACCGTAAGCCATAAAATATAAAATAATCAAATAAAATGAATAAGATAAAATTGAACATTATATACCTTGTGAAGAATTCCGTGGAGTACATTCTTTTTCATTTTTTCTAGGGTTATTCATATTTTATGAAGTTATTAGCTAAAAATACTTAAATTAAATCGAATGAAATCTAATCGAAATGAAAAATAGAAAATATACTAAAATACATAATCAAATATAGGTGTCATAGTAACGAGTAGTAACTAGTATTGTGTATAAAATATATAATATTAATTATAAGAAATGATATAAAGAAATTTTCTTCTAAAATACAAAGTTAATAAATGTATATTCCATACAATCTAAATAGTAAATTGATATAAGTTAAAATATATTTGTTTAGTGTATCTCATCTGACGTTATTCGGATTTCGATAAGTTTTAGTTGAATATAATACGTAGAATATAAATCCAATATGAAAAAAATCGTTAAAAAATAAAACATAGGATATATTTTTTTCGTTTCGAGTCCATACGATGATTATGACGAAACATTTATGTCATTAATTGAAAACAAATCAAGGTAATGTATATAATAATATAATGTGTTTAGAGTTTTACTTCAAACGGGTTTGATTCGCGAGAGGTATGAAAATATAAAATACTCGTAATACATACATCGATGAAAAGAATGACTTCGAAAAGACAACAACGGCACCATCAACATGCAGCAGTACATAGTTTAACGGTTCGTCTTCGGTTAAATCAGTGCTTCTCAATCTTTTTCAAACTGCAGCCCTCCTAAGAAGCAAAAATGTTTTTCAACGCCCCCCACTCTTAACTTCATTAAAATAAAAATAAAAATAGTATACATAAAATTTTATAACTGAATAATAAATACTATAGATATAAACGTAAATATAATAAAAATAAAATGTAAAATTTATGTTTAAATATAATTTAAAAGGATAATTTAAATGTTTTGAAATTTATTGATCAGTGAAATGCTTGGTGATTCAAATCCAATTTTTTTACGTTTGGTTCAAAATTTGTAAGATGAAGCCGTAAGTCTCCTCTTTTTACGATGTCTAATTGATTTATTTTTTTCGTTATCAGATAATAACGCAGTACCTCTGATATATGTAGTTAATATCTCATAATCACGAATATATTTTAGAAATCGATAAACGTAAAACAATTACAGATAAATCTTGAGACGTTGCTTTGAACGGAAAAAAAGTTCACCGTCACCTAATCACCCAAAACGAGTTCAATGTCCCCCAATCGCCCAAAACGAGCTCACCGTCCCTCGATACTCCTTTACCACCCACCGAGGGGCGATATCGTCCCCGTTGAGAAGCACTGGATTAAACCGTGTGCTTGCATAAAATCAAAACCTTTATTATAATATATGTTTAAGTTAATCTCGTTCGATTCGATGATTAGCAAATATATACTAGTGTAGTGTATACATAGGTGCAATTTGGGGAAGGAGGCTTGGATGTGCTTAGCACCTCCAAATTTGTTCATGTTCATTTACATTTAAATACTCATTACTTATTATGTATAGAAAAATAGAGTTTTTATTGTATCAATAAATAAATTCATTATGTAAATAATGATGGTGAAAGTTTGTCCTTCGTCTTTTCGGTCCTCGAACTGGATAATAGTAATAGGTAGGGTTAGGTTAAACCTAAACTTAAACCATTATATTGAATGACTCATAAGGCTTTCAAAAAATTAGGTATTTTTAAAGTTCTATATTTAAATCAAAATCGCCATTAGATAATTTTATCAAATACGAAAAAAAAATATCTTTGCTGACGTACGTGAAGTTAGCCCCCCGACATTGTCTGATCTACTCCGGACCAATGCCAATATTTTGTAACTCATTTGTAACTATTTGTAACACAATTTTCAGAATTTGTAACTCCTTACTTTTGTCGCAATCGAAATTTTTTTGATGGGGGGCCAACTTCACGTAGCCCCCCGACTTTGTCAGAACGACTCCGGACCAACGCCATTCTTTTATAACTCATTTGTAACTATTTGTAACTCCTTACTTTGGGCGAAATCAACATTTTCCTGACGGGGGAACAGCCCCCCGAATTTGTCTCATCGACTCCGGACCAACGCCATTCTTTTATATCTCATTTGAAACTATTTGTAACACAATTTTCTGAATTTGTAACTCTTTACTTTGGGCGCCATACAAAATATTTGATTGGGAAACTTCACGTAGCCCACCAGCGTCTATGAAGTTTCTCCCCTTCCATATGGTCCATATAGTAGACTTAAAAAAAATTGCGATCCCTGACTCCGGGTGTTTTTGAAAATTTAATTTTTACTAACTATTTTTTAAATTTTTCATTGGGTATTATTTTTTTCAATTAATAGACATTTATATTAATTGTATTTAATAATTGTTTATATTAATATTAATTTAATCTTACCAGTTTTTAGAACTTCTTAATTTTATCGTAATAGGCTTTTTTAATCGAGTGGAGGATAATTCACGCAGCCCCCTCCCACTTTGTTCTATTCATTCCAAATCTTCACATATATTTTACCTTACTATCTCATAGCGTACTTATGTACCTACCTATTTTTGTTGTGTATAGTGTAAAATATACTAATTTTCTCGTATATATATATTTTATTATATTTTAAAGTCTCTTGGGGGGGGGTTGTTCCAGTTTTTACCCCTTAAATTACGCCCCTGTAGTATACTGCATGGCGAATTCCAAGGTCTTATTATGTTAAATGCTGATGTAAATTTATTATATACGCACCCGGCAGTAGCCGACGTGATTTGACCTGACAAATTGGCCCCCCATCAAAAAAATTTCGATTGCGCCAAAAGTAAGGAGTTACACATTCTGAAAATTGTGTTACAAATAGTTACAAATGAGTTACAAAATATTGGCATTGGTCCGGAGTAGATCAGACAATGTCGGGGGGCTAACTTCACGCACGTTCTTTGCTGCAGTGTAAAAATTTCAAGTTTCTAGCCACATTACTTTTGGAATTATTACTAAATAACTAAAATCTGAATAGTGAAAGTCTCATTTACGGCGTATTTTTACCGTTTTAGGACAGTTTTTTTCTCACACCTAGAAAAAATATTAGGAGTTTAAAAAAATGACCTATTTAAAGTACCACTGCATGCCTATTTAAAATCTAAACATTTCCTAGAAAAAACTTTTGCACCAGTATTTCTATGCGAAAAATTGTATTAAAAAAATAAAATACAAACATCATTATAAAACCATAATATTCTTCGCTTTAATTAGAATCTGAAAGTGATCATGTGATGAAATATTTGTGTCAACAGACGGGTAATTCATTATATACGCAATAAAAATATAAAATCAAAGCGAACAATTTAATATTTAATATTCAAATATTTACTAAATATTTTAGTAACTGTTGAATTTTACGGGTTGTGAGTGTATATTACCATTAAGAAACATGAAAAAGATAAAAGGTTTTCAACAACCCCAGTTTTTTCATTTAAATTGCGCCCCTGAGTGTATAATTCTTATATAGATATATATTCTTACATAGATTAAACATTGCGATACCATATAGATCATCGCAGTGGATAGCGATTTATTGAATTTCTACTATAATAATAATAATAATAGGCATTTGAAATAATAATAATATGAATAATATTGAGGTGATTACGGTTTAATGCATTAACCGTCTCATGTGTTGCAGCCATTGTAACCGTTACCGTGGTAATAGCATTCGCGTCCGCGTGGTCTACGCAATTCCCTCAAAACATGTTTCACGCGTTTCCGTCACCGCCACCACCGCCGCCGCCGCCACCTCCACCAGCTCAACCACCGTTCAGATCACCCTTCCTCCAGGACACCATTCCGTTGTTACCACGTGGTTACTACCACGTGCAACATCCACCTTTTACGCAACCACTGCAGCCATACCGACCTGCACCGCCGCCGCCACCACCGTCGTATCCACAGTCGGCCGTGAGACTGATCGCCCTTCAACCACCGCGACCTTTGGCATTCCCACCGGCACAGCATCAGGTTCACACGGCCGATAGCGTGCATCACGTGCATGTGTTCTATTACTATTACGTGCCGGCCGACTTGGCACAGGACACGTCCAGGATTGGTCGAAAGGATGGCGGAAATGACCGAGGGACACCGTGTGTCGATCAACCGCCACCTACGACTACTGCGTGTCCTCCGTCGTATATTCCGCCACCGCCACCACAGTCACCGTCGCCATTGCCACCACCTTCACCACCTCCGGCTTCGATCGCGGCACCAACCACACCACCACCACCACCACCACCACCACTACCACCGCAGTCACCACCGTCGGCACCGACCGAAGCTCCTTGCGACGATACCGTGGTCGTAGACAACGTGGAGTACTACCCCTATTCGGGTAGATCGGCACCGATCGTGGTCGCGGCCAGGTACAATTCCGGTGCCGCCCGTGACACTAACGGCAATGGGCCGCGTGACAATCCGGGTTCCCGGGGGCCGGAGCACAGGTCCAGTTTTATTTTGGCCAACTATCTGCTGCCGCCGGACAATAAATGACCGTGTCGCGCAAACACAACATCATTCGGTATCTTCGTGCAATGTGCAAGTAAATTAAGATGTAAAATTAGATGTATATGTTACGGGAAACACCAGGGACGCCAGCAGAAATGTAGCTCAGGGGAGGCAAAAAAAAAACGTAAGTAAATATAATCTATGAGAAGGTTTACCATTAATTACCTCTTTCATGTGCTCATATTTTGTAATACTATCGTAAATAATGTTCTACAGATGTATACTAATTTAAGTTAATATAAAATTACACTATTAGCTCAAATATTTATAAGAAAAAACGAAATAAAGTTAAATATAAAGTAAAAAATAACTTGATCAAATTTACATCATGTTTAATTATTTTATTCATAAAGTAATGACAGTCTCCTTTTGTTAGAAGTGAATCAATTTATTGATTAAAAATGTTGTTATCATCATACCTTTGGTTTTTTAAACGGTGTAAATTGCTGAAACACAATAAAATGGTCATTGTTAAATATTAACTTATATACTGAATGAAATTTGTAAACATTTTGTAACCGACATGAAAATCTTAGGAGGGGCGACAGTCCCCTCAGGCCTTCCTATCCGGATGTCTCTGGGTAATACGGAATTTCGGGCAATATACACATCGCTCGGTCCTGCCCAGGCAATTCATTCCTCGAAATAAATAATTGTTAATGAAGTCACAATAACATAATGTAAAACATTTTACTAATAATTTCTTGTAATTCTATCACAATACGGAACAAAACGTAAAAGCTTATCAGTACAAAATTTCTTACGCACCGTTTATATCATTTATTGTTTTTACTACTCGTTTTCCCATATCACATTGATGAAAGCAATAGCTATGCCAATACATCGATCAGATAAAGCAATACATGAACAATAATCAAGATTTACGATCAAGCGATCGATTTCACATGATCTTCATGACACTTCGTACTTTATAAATATTAATGTATGTTCGAGGTTCAAGTTTCCCGGGACAGGACCGAATCGATCGAGCAATGTGTGCACCGCCCGACAATTCATATTGCCCGTAACATGTATAAGTATGTAAATATGTAAATGTATAGATTCACGTAATGCATTCAAAAATCAATTGTTGCGCTCCGTCCGTTGTGAACTTCCGGCGCAATCGATGTACGCGAACGAATTATAAACGTTGTGGCGACGATCGCAGCAAATCGTGGTAGGTACCGATGGCACGGTAGGTAACACTCGAGTATTATAATAATATGCAAACTATACTGTGTTTTCCGCTCTTATCGGGCTGACGACCGTTTTATTCGAAACGAAAATCGTCGGCCCCGTTTCCTTCGGCTAGAAGAGTGCAAAACATTGTACGCCAACAAGTCTGTCCATTTGTTCCAGCAGCGTTTTACCACGTGTCCGTACTGCGCAAAATTAAATTATACTCGTATGCCTACCCGACACTGTTCGATTAACTTTGTGTTGTTATCATAATGTATAAGTAGTTTTTAAAAATATTTTTTTTTTGTTCCGAGACGTATCTGTCAACGTTCTATTATCTAATCGTCGATGCTTGTTAGTCGTTGCTGCGAAATTCTAAAACAACAATACTGTCCTATTAAGAATAGTAAAAATAATATAATGTACACAACTGTAAAATATTATTTACGTTCTTTTTATACGAATTCAAATATATCATATGTGATGGAAAAATTGTGAAATTATTTAAAAAAAAAAAAAGGTTATTGAACGTTAAAAAAGTATTCTGGATACTTGTTAAACGTATTGAACTATATTAAATTCTTAAAAATAAAAGTATTTGAAAATTATTTGGAATACTTAAAAAGTTTTTGAATACTATCCGAGTCTGATGCTTATGCGATTCGGTAATCCCTCGGCTGTATGGAAAAGGTGTATTCATTGTGACCATATATTTGATTATAGTAGAAATAATTTATAATAGAACCGTGTACAATGATCCAACTTAGTTGAAAATGTTTTACGAACAATGTATGGTTAATTTACTGAAAAATTATTTTATCTTACACATTTATTTTCACAAGAAATTGTGGAAATAGTTACTGAAATGTACAGTAAAAATCATTTTTAATCTACTCTTCAGATAGCAGTCTATTGAAAACTTCTTATTTGCATAGCTTATATGTATAGTACTTGGAATTTTTGCAGCAACAAAAATTTTATTTTTTTTATGTACTTAACTATTTATTAAATTTTATTAATAAAATAATAAAATAAAAAAATTATTATTGATTAGGTTAGCTTAGGTTTTCAAATTAGTTATTAAAATACCTTCACCGTGGATGTTTGTCTATTGGTATAACACTGAAACAATGCAAAAAAAAAAAAAAAAGAACAATAATTGTTATATTTGTTTATAATTGTTAATAATGACAATTATTGTCGTTTGTTACCGTAGAGAAATTTGTGTTATATTTCCGATTCATTTAATTTGTACTTATATTTTAATTATATTTGTATTTAATTTTAACAATATAATTATGGATATATATTAATAAAATATTTGTATAATACATTTATTATAGTATTATTGTAATGAAAGAAGCATGATTTTAATATTTATTTTTTTATTTTTATTATAAAAATTTATATCTTAGCAAATTATCGTAAATTGTTGACTAAAAAATGAATTGTAAATATAACACTAGATGGCTTCGCATTACCACAGAAGAGTTTGAGTTAAAGTGAATATTTATAAACACATCATGTACAGGTGTGTATTGGTGAGTTGTTACTAAGGCGACAATGTGTGTTTGTGTAAGAAATAAATGATTATGAGTGTGAGAAGAATAAATTAATAACGTGTGAAAGATGACACAAACATGTCAGTGTGGTGGCTGCTACTGTTTCGTGAGAAACGACCAATTTATGATGTAAAAAAATTGTCATTTTTATTTTAATATTGACCTAATGATGTAATAAGAATACTGACAAAAATATTCGAATTTGTCTCGAATTTTACCGAGCATCCACTTTCACACCTTAAAAAAAGTTTATTTTTGTAGTCAATAATGTTAATAATTTCAGATTGAATGCGTTTTATTAATTTATTAATACGTCGTATGTTATCCCCAAAAAAATATGTATCTATAGTATATTATGCTGCACCTATATCTATTTATTAAGTAAAATTGTAATTTACTTCTTTTATTGGATTTATATAAGTGACCGTTATTACATAACTGTTTTATTTTTCATAAACAAATCCAAATATTTTTCAATATCTCATAAAAAATACAATGACGCAATTTACCGAGCGTCATCATTCACCAAAAATGTCCATAGGCTTTAGTAAATTGTTTTTGCATCGTCCAATGAAAATTTTTTCTAGGATTTACCATGTTTATGATAAAAACCATTAAAATACATACACTTCAAACAAATATCAAATCGCTATTCAACCAATAAATATTTTGTTAGTTTTTTGTTAAATAAAAAATATATGATACCGATAAGTTAGAAGTTTTTATTTTACAATCGTACCTTGTCATATTTATGATAAAATTAAAAATCTAAACATTTCAAATTTATACATGTTTTATAATACATAGTTAGACCAATTAATAATTATTGTCGCAACAGAAGTATGGTATATTGATTTGGTTATCAGTTGGTTGTATCAGGAGTCTTGTCAATTTACGATTTCGGTGTATTTTAATGTAATACTACAATATTTTCACAATTTATATTCATATTTATTAATAAAAGTAAAAAAACGGATTACCATTACCCACAAAAATATATACAACATAATATAAAATAACGCTTGCTAATATATTTATATATGAGGTTATATTTCAGTGGTGGATTAGACCAAATACTTCTTATACAGGATTAAATTGTTAAAAATTATTTTAGTATTTATACGTTACTTATTTTTATGCTACATTACTACTTATTTTGGCTGCAACTTGTTTGCGTACAATTCATAATTTTTACATGAAAATCGGAACTCTGCGCACACGGTTATATTAAATGTACAACTGGTTTGCGCACACGAAAATAATTATATTTTTGTCACGCCTGTATCGGCTAGTCGTGTGGTATAAAACCCGGTGTATGTTATCGGCCTTATCGTGGTTTACGACTATCATAGTGTTGTACAAACGATATAATATAGACCTAACACAGTACGTCTCGAGAACTTATAGTGTGCGTATATAGAATTATTGTGTTTCTAACCTATATTTACTGAACATGGATTTAGAAATTAGTAAAGTTTTTGAATCGCGACGAGGAAATATCTGTATTAGTATAAATAATTTTAAACTCACATCATGTTTTAAATAGTGGTGATTTTTATTTTTGTTGTACCAATAAAAAATGCAATGGTTTGTATGTTGCAAATAAACTATACACCAAAGTAATTCATGTTATAAATGATCATAGTAAACATAGTGAGTATTCAGCAAATTAAATTGAAAAAGAGATGGTTCGCAGTGTTGTGAAACGTAAAGCTGAAACAGAGCTACACATACAACCGAGTAAGATAATAAGACAAACATTTCATTTAAACCAAGGTAATAATCTTAAACATAGTGATATTCATTTACTAAGAAATTCTATGTATGCCGCCAGAAAAAAAACAGTTTCCAATGCTTCCAAAAAATATAAATGAAGCAATTAATCAGATTAGGGAAATGCAAGAAAATTTGTTATTTAAAGGTGAACAGTTTATTTATTTAAGTAAAGACGAAAATGTAGTAATTTTAACTTGTCCGAAAAATTTAAGTGTTTTATACAATGCTCAACACGTTTTTGGAAATGGCACGATTATTGTCCAAAATTGTTTAATCAGTTATACACGATCCATATTTATCAAAATCATTTTTATGTGCCGGTAATTTTTTGTTTTTTGAAGAATAAGTCAATTTCAACGTATAATACAATGTGGATAACAATTCAGGATCTTTGTGTTCATACGCTTAATCAAGAACTAAATATTAAAGAGTTCCATATAGATTTTGAGATATCCGCACACAATGCTTTACTAAATCTTTATCCCGATTGTAAAATTGTGGCTTGTACTTTTCATTTAGCTCAAAGTTGGTTTTGGCACATTCAAAGTAATAAACAATTATTACTTGAGTATAATAACAAAAATTCCAATATTGGCAATTAGCTTAAAAGTTTTTTTCGTTTGCCGTATTTACCTCCAGAAGAAGTAAAAGATGCCTTTACACAATTAATATTAGATTGCCCAACGTCAGATTTTTAATTTTCCTACTTCGTTCTTGAAACATATATAATTCCCGATTCAAAATTTAATCCTACGTT